CCTCCCCCTCCCTCCCATTTGGCTTCTGCCCTTGGCCCTGCCTCTGCCCCTCTGGCTGCCCCCCCGCTTGGCTTCTCCCCCTGGGCCTCCTCTGCCTCAGACCTGCCTCTAATCGCCACGGGATTCCTGCTCCAGCCCCGTCAAAACCCCCCACTCTCATGGCCTTTCTCAGTCCCTGCACCTCTTTCCGCATGGACCCTTCCCACCCTCTCTCCCTTGGGGGGCACCACCAGCCAGAGCCTTGAATGCCAACGCCACGGGATTCCTGCTCCAGCCCCGTCAAAACCCCCCACTCTCATGGCCTTTGACAGTCCCTGCACCTCTTTCCGCATGGACCCTTCCCACCCTCTCTCCCTTGGGGGGCACCACCAGCCAGAGCCTTGAATGCCAAGACGGGCCAGCGCCTTGGGTGGCACCCCCACCCGTTTCCCCCCTTCAGGTCAGCCCATAGCGCCTGCAAAGGCAACCCCCTTCCCCTCCAAGCCCTGCCACTTCAGAAGAGCTTTTCCAGCTCTGCAGCAGCTGGAGGCCTTCGCAGGAGCAGGTGCACGGGGGAAAGGAAACCCCCGATGCAAAAAGAAGGCAAAGTAAACACACGCAAAAGAAAGGCGGGGGGGGGGGTTCCACCTTTGTGCGCTGCAGATTGCCAAGGCAAAAGGGAAGGGACATTTCTCTCGTGGTCTGCAACGTCAGGATCCTCTTTGGGGTGGCCACCGGGCATTGACCCCTCAGTTTCAAATATATTGAAATGTATTAACACTGAACCTTGAAACTTTGCATTGTGTACCCGTGGGCAGCAGCAAGGCACACTTGAGAGAAAAAAAATACTTGGCATGCTATAGGAAATGGTACTTCCCTAAAATATTCCTTAAAATAAAGCCTCGCCCCTTATTGGTTTTCCTGTATTTCCATTCGCCCTGTCTACTTCTATTATTTCCCCACTTCTGCTGCTGCAGGTGTCCAGTGCTTTTTATTTGTCTTCCTTCAAAGCAAAGCCAAATATATATATTGCAAAAAAAAAAAAAAAAAAGCAATTTAAAGGCACAGGCCACTTGCTTGCATAGTGCCGAAATGCGGAGTAGGTCTGTTAAGAGAAGAAGATGGTAAAAGAGGAGTTAATTTCCTGTCTTGGAACCCAATACACTGGGTAGTAATCCTTGTCCAGTAATGCTGAAACGCTGTGAGCTGCGCCATGCATGTCACCCATTGCATTATTTATTCTGCGTGTGTGTGTGTGTGTGCATGCGCGCGCACACACAAGTCCTGTGCAAGAAGCAGGTGATGTGGTCAGGGCAAAAAGTAATGTGGCTAAAATGCAATAGACAACCTCCAGCTCAGCGTAACAACAGTGCCCCTCGCTGTCCGACGGCACACGTAGCACTTGGCTTTCCGTTTCATTCTCAGCAAGTCTGGTTATTCTTTCACGTTCCTCGCCCTGCCCAAGGAATCCAGTCCGGTAGCAGGTGCATGGATATGAACCACTTGGCCAGGCTTCCTTTAATCGGCTTGCTTTTCTTCCTGGAAGAACAACCAGGAGTCCTGTGGCACCTCAGAGGCTAAAAGATTTATGAGGGCATCAGCTTTCGTGACTAAAACCCATTTCGTCAGATGAACTAAAACAAGTAGCACAAGCAACGTCTGTCATTTGTTGTTCTTATATATCCCTGCCTCTGTAACTCCCCCTCCAATTCATCTGATGAAGTGGGTTTTACCTGCAGAAGCTTGTGCCCTAATAAATCTACTAGTCTATAAGGTGCCACAGGACTCCTCCTGGTTTTTGCAGATTCAGACTAACACGGCAACCCCTCTGAGACACTTCCTCTACGGCTTTATGCCTCTGTCTCAGTCAGGAACCCAGCCGATGAATGATATGAGAGAGAGATTGGGTTGAAGAGTTATCGGGCCTTCCACCCAAATCTTGCAGGTGGTCCCTTTGGGAGCAATGTTGCTTCTTCCAATTAAGTGGATAATTCTGAATGACTGAACTGAACTTTGGAATAAAAAAGATCCCCTTCTTGAGACAAGAAATGTCTGGATTGTATTGGAAAAGAGCAGCAGTTAGCGTTAGACTGGGGAGGTTGTAGAAACCAGGAATTTCTGAAGACAAGGAGAAACAAAACAAAAAAAAACCCTCTTGGCTTTTGAGTGGCAGAGGGTGAGGACAGAGAAGTATATTTTCATAGGCACGTTACTAAGCAACTAGTGAGGAAAGAAAATGATGTTTGACTTGCACTTGCTGGCCTCTGCCAGATTGGCCAGAAATCCAGGGACAATATGTCAGGGAAGCTGGCCTGGATTACAGTCTATCGATGTGCCAAAGTTGGCCCCGAGCAGAGAACTGCTGCGAAAGAATCTAATACTAGCTCTGCTACGGACTAACGCTTTTACTGTGCCTCAGTTTCCCCAAATGTCAGTTGGGAATAATGATATTAGGGACATTAATCTACCTTTGTACAGCCAATATTCATTAAGGTTTATAGGGAGCTCTAAGTGTCTTGAATGAAAACAGCTGCAAAATTTTAAAGGAATATTATTTTGTTCATTATTAATATCACTGATGCATGATGAGTAGCCTGTAAAAATACTCTGTTGTCAGGGGGGTAGTGTCCTTAACTTCAAAACTGTACCTTACCCCAGTGACGTTTACATAACTGTAAAAACACAAGCAGGATCATGGATGTAGATCGGTTCTTAAATTGTGCCTGCTCTTTCCATTTTTGTTTCACGGTTTGCCACATCACACTGCTGCCTGGTGACCTCGGAGACAGGGAGGTCAGAGACGAGAACCGGAATGGAGTTTACTGGCCAAATACAAGTCTACTGACTTGAAAAAGTCCATGGAAAAACAAATGCAGCCCAAAATTTCTCTCTCTCATTCCTTCTTTCTTTCAAGAAAGAAAAAAGAATCTTCTGGCCCGTTTCCCTGTGAAACTCCGAGCCAATGATAACTGTAGCTGGAAGGAGACGTCTGGAGCCAGCTTTAAGAAAAGGAGTTTTGCTGTGTCAGCTTAAATAAGACAGGAGAAGTAGTGGGAGTACCTCAATTCCCTGCAGCTAGCACCAGGTTTAATTCTTTATCATTCCCCTGACATGTTTTGCTCTCCCTCTTTCAGGCTCTCCGTTTAAATGTGCTTTAGCATGGGGCTGGGTTTAACAGACACACAACAGCTGTAAATGAGTGACTGATAGATAAGAAGGACAGGTGTCCAGCTATAGAGTGGTGGGCTGGGGTGAACTGGGGTTAGAGCCAAGGGTCAGGGTTAGGGCAAAGGTCATGGGAGCAGGGAACTATGTACACACTACAGTCCCGAACATGTGCTGTTTGGGGGAAAAGCAGTGTGGCACGCTGTGCTGGGGGGTGGCTTCTTTGTGTGAAGCTGAAACCATTAAAACACAGAAGCTGGGAAAGCTAAAGCTAGTAGCAACAGGCCTGCAGCCCTCCGAGCAGAAACAGGAAAAACTCCATTTTTCTTTGTGATCTAAAGTTAAAAAAAAAATTGTGAAATCTATCAGGTGCAAGCAAGAAAGTTGCTTTTTTGGGAGGCGGGGGTGGATCAGAGGAGACGGCATAGGGGCCTCTTGAGGGACGGATTCTGCAGCCGTCTTACTTGTTAGAGCAGGAACAAGTTGATTGAGTTGTGGATCCAAACCAAAAAAAAAAAGCCTGCTTAATCCCAGCAGAGCTCACCAGAAAAGATGCGCACTTGCATGCATATTATAGAGATCAAATTCTCATCTACCTTGTGAGGCCCTCAATCTGGAGTAACTGCACTGAAGTCAGTGGAGTTACTCCACACTTATGTGTCTGTAACGGAGAGCAGAATTGAGCCCTGTATAAGTGAGACTTAACAAGTTTGAGGGACTGTAGAGGAAAGTCAAGGGCCCAGATCCTGCAAAGACCTAACCGTGTGCATGCTTTGTTTACATGATTGACATGTCAGAGAGACGACTCACGTGGTTAAAGTCTGTCGTATGTTTTAAGTGTTTGTAGGATCAGGCTGTAAGTAAACATACATGGGAACCGAAAGGAATAACAGATGCTGTTGTAGGTTCTTTGCAGACCTGCATGCCTATTATATAGCACTAATTCTGATCTGCTTTGTTCTTTGCAGACTTAGACTCACCTCTCGTCCTTTTCCTAATTGTACCTACAACAGCGATGGGCAACCTAGGCTAGATTCCGGAGGCTCCTTCTTCTGTTGGGGAGTAAAGAGGAAGGAAGGAGTCACAGGAGTGAGGCTTCCTCTGGGAATGGGCGACAGGGGAGGGGTCACTTGATGATTCCCTGATCTGTTCACTCCCTCTGGGGCACCTGGTGCTGGCCACTGTCGGCAGACAGGACACTGGGCCGTTCTTATGTGTGCACACCTGCACCCATAGATGAATAGCTATTCTGATATGTATAGGACCATATAGAGAACTATAGGCAGATGCACATATATACTCACTCATACATGCACTAAGAAGTAAATACACTCTGTGCGCAATAGTATTCATGTTTAATGCTATTTAAATTAGTAGCTCCTGTTGGATTGGAGCCACATGGTGCTAGGAGCCAAGCGTCATGCAAATGCAGTGGAACAGCCCTCAGCCCAGTGAGTTTATAGTCTAGTTCAAGACAAGCCAGAAAGAAATGGGGGGGAGGCTAAAGGCAGCAGCAAGACCTTGTGGTTTTATGCCATCCAGCTGGGTGCACAACTGGACAGAGCTGAGGATTTTTTTTCATATAAGATTTTTTCCAAATCCATCTCACTGTTCCTCTGTTGGCATCTCTCTCTGGCTGTCGGGAACTTGGAGGCTGGACAGGAAAAGGGGTGGTTCTAGGAAAGGGATTAGTGAAAATGGGTGGGGGTAGCCGGGGAAGTTGTCCCACCCAGAAGGGGTGGCGGCAGCCAAAACACATGGAGGCAGCTGCAGCGAGGGAGTGGAGGAGGCAGCGTGCTGCAGCAACAGACAAGTGCGGAGAAAGAAGGGGAGGGCTCTCGAGATCCTAGGAGGTGAGATTCAGTGACCACGGCTGATGCACCGTTGTACAGGCCAGAGGAGAGATTCAGTGGAGAGATTCAGTGACCACGGCTGATGCACCGTTGTACAGGCCAGAGGGCAGTGCTACGGGGGCGGAGGAGAGGAGGGAAGATGTCACCCTCGGGGCAGGACATGATGAGGGCCTGGCTGAGTCTTTTAGAGGTGAGACCAGAGAGCTCCGGGATGCTGAGGAGGACGATGGGTTGGGGGCATCCACGAGGCATTTGCCAGCCAGAGGAACACACGGCTAGGTGTGCAGCAATAGTCTAGGTGGACAGAATGCAGGCAGAAGAGGTCACCTAGAGATGGACACTGTCTCCGTTTCCTCAGGCCAGGGTCTATATGTCAGGCACCTCCCCTCAGCTACAGAGACTACTTCTAGCTGGGACACGGGTCTAAGCCAGGCCTCTGTGTCAGACTGCCAGGCAGGGGGGCCGGGGATGTCAAGACTAGGGATGTAAACATCCCGTTTAGTTGGTTAAATGGTTAAACGTAGTGCGGACACTGCATTTAGCCGCTTAGCCAGTTAAAAGAGGGTGGGCAGGGGTCAAGCTAGAGGGGTCCCTGCCACATGCAGAGGCTTCTCCGGCCTAGCTGCACCTGGCCCCCTGCGGGGGCTTTCACGGCTGTCCCTGCCAGCCCTCGCATGTGTGCTTTTGCTGGCTCCGAGTCCATGCGGGCTGGGAAGCAGCAGACCTGTGTAGGGGACCCATTGGGGCTAGAGCAGCCTCCGCCCATAGGGGCTGCTCCCGGGTACCAGTGAACCGTTACCCGGTAAACATCACCCATCCACCCATTAATGTGCATAGTCAGTACGTGTCCTTTGAGACCACCGCACTCGTGGAACAGTGGGTATGCGACGGAAGGGGCTTCCAGTCTCTGTTGCCATGCCTTCCGTTCTCTCCAGCCACGTGGAGGTGAAACGCATCGATCCCTGGACCCAGGCGGCACGCTAGACCTTCGGTAGGTGTCAGCACCCAGGGCAGATCTCAGTCAGATGTTACTTTTTAAGTGGCTCTTTGAGGTTAGCGCGCGAAAGGGGGTGCCAGTGTTTATTTCGCGTCAGCAGCTCGTCGGTGGCAGCCCTCTGAGTTCGGATCGTATTCACCCGCAGGGAGGCTGACCTTTTCGAAAACGTCTCTGGGTTCCGAGCTGCTGTGTGATTGCCCCCGGGCGTGCTGCAGACTCGTTCTGTCTCTTGCGCAGGCCCCAGCTGCCCGCGGGGACAGCTCTGCTCACTCCAGCTGAAGCCAATAGGGAGGTGTTAACCTCGGCTGCACAGACGGGGGGAATCTCGCCACCAGGTGACAGATGCCAGTGAAGGGTTAAGTTCACACCAGGCCGTCAAAATTTGCCTGGGTTTGTTCATGCAACGCTTTGGCCTGCGCATGCAAACACGGAGTTCTGCAATGTATTAAATTGAGACAAGGTGTTTTCCTGGAAGATCTGCTCTAGGAATCAGCAGAGGAGGTTCTGTGGAGTGAGGCTGGCTCTGCTTTGGCCAGGGGTTGGACTCGATGACCTCCTGAGGTCTCTTCCAGCCCTAGGATTTTACCGTCTCTGAATAAGGGGAGGTGACAATTTGTATTCCTCTCTTTGGAACCCCCTATAGGCGACTCCTGGGGAAGCCGATGAGAATTCCACACACACAGGGCTTAAACTCGGCTCTACTCTGCGCTGGTTAGGCCTCAGTTGGAGGATTGTGTCCAGTTCTGGGCACCGCATTTCAAGAAAGATGTGGAGAAATTGGAGGGTCCAGAGAAGAGCAACAAGAATAATTAAAGGTCTAGAGAACATGAGCTATGAGGGAAGGCTGAAAGAATTGGGCTTGTTGAGTTTAGAAAAGAGAAGATTGAGGGGGGACATGAGAGCCGTTTTCAGGTATCTAAAAGGGTGTCACAGGAGGAGGGAGAAAACTTGTTCATCTTGGCCTCTGAGGACAGAACAAGAAGCAAGGGGCTTAAACTGCAGAAAGGGAGGTTTAGGTTGGACATTAGGAAAAAGTTCCTACCTGTCAGGGTGGTTAAACCCTGGAATAAATTGCCCAGGGAGGTTGTGGAATCCCCATCTCTGGAGATATTTAAGAATAGGTTAGATAAATGTCTATCAGGGATGGTCTAGACAGTACTGGGTCCTGCCATGAGGGCAGGGGACTGGACTCGATGACCTCTCGAGGTCCCTTCCAGTCCTAGTATTCGATGATTCTATGAAAAGCCTGCTTTCAAACTATACTCTAATCATGATAAACTTAAAAAACAACAAATAGTTGAGTAGCACTGTTAAGACTAACAAAACATGTAGATGGTATCATGAGCTTTTGTGGGCACTTCCCACTTATCTGAAGAAGTGAGTTGTGCCCAGGAAAGCTCATGATACCATCTACATGTTTTGTTTAGTCTTTAAGGTGCTACTAGACTATTTGTTTTTTAAGTTTTTCCTGTTACAGACTAACTCGGCTACCCCTCTGAAGCTAATCATGCTAGGCTTTTTCCTAACACTTTTGTTCTTCCAAGAATTTCAACTGGCTGGTCGAACCTTAATTAATTAAGGCTCACAGCACCCTTGTGGGGGTGAAAACCCCCAAAAGAACTGGGCCTAGTGTGTTTGTTTCAGCTCTGCTGATGGAGATAACCAATGTGAGTGTTATATAAGGAGAAGGCCTGTCTAAGAGTTATTTGAGGCAGTATTTACGGAGCTAAAATCCTAGTCTGAGCATAAAGGAGCACTTTTTGTTTACATTCGGTCCAAAAAATTGATTTTATAAAAGGAGTCCTAGTGTTTCTGTTTGGTTTGGTTTTGATCATTTGTTTGTTTAATTCAAGTGACATCTGTTTTATTAAGCAATTGTTCTGCTCCCTCTTAATAACCCAAACACAGCTGCCTTGCCTTAGAACATAAGAACCAGAGGGGAAACTGACACTGTCTAGAAGCAAAAGCGAAATTGACTAGGTTGGTTTTCACATTTTAAGCTGCAGGAAATGCAAAAAGGAAACGAGAATCTTAGTGAAAAGTAACTTTTGTTTTTAAGTTTCTGTAAGTGGTTTTAACAAGTTTAGGTGTTTCTGGTAAATCTGGCAGAGTCCTATGATTTTTTTATCTCATTTTTATCTCATTCAGTGCATGCGGCTAGACTTTCTGTACATAGGGTAGCAGCAATGCAGTCATGCAAACTGCTTTGTGACCCCTCAGCTTGAACATAAAACACTTTGTTAATTCCAAGAAGTTATGCACAGTTTTCTTCAGGAGCAGCATAGAAAAAGAAGTGCCCTTGCCAAAAATGCCATTGGATAATTTTATGACCAGTGAAGGCTTGGTAATAAGATATGGGTGTTCCGTTCTCAGGAGTCAGGGTATAAGATGTTCATCTCTGGATATGAAGAAAGAGTTTGATTTCTTACTGTGCAGCCTGGTACAATTAGCTCAGTGCATTATGGACTGTTGGGGTACTGGGGGGACAGGGGTTGTCTTGCTGGGAAGTATCGAGTATGAGTCATTTACTCTAGGCAGGAAGTTGTCGGCTCAATCTCACCTAGTATTACGTCTCCTTTGTTCTAATTGGCCAAATAATCTGTTATACGTTGGTAGTCTAGTAAGACGTCTTCCTACTAGGGTAGCAGATGACTGCATGTGCTTAAGCACAAATTATGGTTCTCCTGGTGTGGGTTTTCTAGGCAGGGGTCCAGAGCGGTATTTGATATCCCAGAGAAAGGATGGGAAAGGGGGCAGGACAATGCTACACTCCAGCCTCCACGGAATCAGTCTGGAAGCAGGCTGTTCTACCAAATATGGGATTATTCCCACCGTCAGCTTTGGCAGGCGTCACAGCCTGTCCCAGCCCCTCTCTCTTCCCCCCCCCGCAGTCCCTCCCCTTCCACCAACACACCCCCAACCAGTGGGAGTTTGTGGGGAGTGGAAAGTTAGTATTTCCCTTTGGCTCTAGCTTTCATCCTGCCCTGCATGGTGTAACCAGCATCCAGAATGGCAAGGAGGACACATTTTGCTGAAAGGTGATGAAAATGATTCTGTGGCCAGTAAAGGACAAATCAACACGCTGGGGAGTTTTTTCCCTTCCCTTTCAACTCTGGGGGTCTACACCAAGCTGGCCGCCAGCCTGTGTCCACGTGACCTCTGCAGTTGCACAGCCGCACAGTGGGTCAATGAGCGGGGTTGGGTCAATGTGGAAAAGAGAGACATCTGTGGTGGCTGGATGATGGGTGACTCCCCTCCTTGTGAGTCCGTGCTGACCCTGGTGCCAGGTTGGAAGTGGCAGGGAGTTAGCACTAGGCTCGTTCCCCAGTGCAGGGCTAGGGGGCGCTGTGGTGTGAGAAATGGTGCAGGTGATTCGTGCGCTAGGGGGCGCTATGGTGTGAGAAATGGTGCAGGTGATTCGTGCACGAGGGGGCGCTATGGTGTGAGAAATGGTGCAGGTGATTCGTGCACGAGGGGGCGCTATGGTGTGAGAAATGGTGCAGGTGATTCGTGCACGAGGGGGCGCTATGGTGTGAGAAATGGTGCAGGTGATTCGTGCACGAGGGGGCGCTATGGTGTGAGAAATGGTGCAGGTGATTCGTGCACGAGGGGGCGCTATGGTGTGAGAAATGGTGCAGGTGATTCGTGCACGAGGGGGCGCTATGGTGTGAGAAATGGTGCAGGTGATTCGATGCGCTGGGGGCGCTATGGTGTGAGAAATGGTGCAGATGATTCGTGCGCTGGGGGGGCGCTATGGTGTGAGAAATGGTGCAGATGATTCGTGCGCTGGGGGGGCGCTATGGTGTGAGAAATGGTGCAGATGATTCGTGCGCTGGGGGGGCGCTATGGTGTGAGAAATGGTGCAGATGATTCGTGCGCTGGGGGGGCGCTATGGTGTGAGAAATGGTGCAGATGATTCGTGCGCTGGGGGGGCGCTATGGTGTGAGAAATGGTGCAGATGATTCGTGCGCTGGGGGGGCGCTATGGTGTGAGAAATGGTGCA